CCCCCCCCCCCCCCTCTGTTGTATTCGGCTTTTTGGCCTGCCCCTGCAGCATGATGCCACTTTTCATCGCCAACTTCGGCAGCACCCTGGACGAACTCGGCGAGCCTGTGGAGGATAGTGATGGAAAAACAGTCCTGGAGAGCGTGGCGAGCTTCTGCATCCTCCTCGGCGTGATCGGCGCCGTCGCCGGGGTGGTCGGGTTCGTCCTGGTGGCCCTTTGGAGTATCTCCGGAGAACGTCAGGTGGGTGTCGGTATATGGATGTTGTTTGCCTCGACCACGCTACTAGCCGGCTGACCATTGAGACTACGTCAGTCTCGTAGATGGAAAAGGACGTGTGTGTGTGTGCAGGTCTGTTAATTGCTAGCATCGACCGCGCTAGCCGGCTGACCCATTAATATACGTTAGCTTCAGTTGGGTGTTGGTGTATGGATATTTTTTGTTGTTTGCATTGACCGCGCTATTGTAACCGGCGGACCAACAAAAGACGCCATTCTTGTAGCGGGATAATAAACGGGAGGAACGAACACGCTTCCTAGTGAATTGATGGGTTTGTCGATAGGGAGTGTGCAGGTCTCAACTACAAGGATAAGGTCCCATACTGTGTGTGTCTGTGCTGCGGTTGTTGTGTTTTCATTGTGTGTGTTGATTACCAGGGCCGCGCCTTCCGACTGACCAAGCAAATTTCGATGTGTTCGTGTGGCATGAGAGGCGTAAGGAGTACTCCCAGTGAGTAAATTTTGTTGTCGTTTTCTTGGTCATTTGTTGTTGTTGTTCTTTCTGTTGCTGTTGCAGGCGCTACGCATGCGGAGGGAATACGTGAAGTGCATCCTGAAGCAGGACATCGGATGGTTCGATGAGCACCCAGCGGGGCAGCTTCCCACGGCCGTCACCGCCAACATGGCAAAGGTGCAGGACGGCTTGGGCAGGAAGATCGGGGACATCATCCTCAACGGCCTCAGCGGTGAGTAGTACGGGCCCTCAATCAAGAAGGATTCCGAAGAAATACTGGCAGAGGCTCAGACTACCACTAAAAATACGAGACACAGGTAGGTCCAAGACACAAAGCCCAGCGGTGTATTCTACCCGATAAACTAAATGACAACCTGTGCTCCGACAGTAGCGGCGATGAGATAAAAAGCTAAGCCGCTCGACCCCATCTTGGCCTTTCTTATCTGCTGGTCCGTATCGAACACCATGCTGGCATCGGTGATGATAATGATGGCGGCGGTATTGGTGGTCAGAGCACAGATATGTTGTTGCCTTTGTTGGTGTTGCCGCGGTTCCTCGTGTGAAGCCTACGTTTCATCGGCACTTGGTTCCGTGCGTACCGTCCTTGGTTCCGTGCGTTCGGTGCTTGATTCCGTGCGTGCGGTGTCAAATACGCAGGCATTGCCCTGCTTATCACCGGGATCATCATCAACTGGGAGCTCGGGCTGGTGATGCTCGCGTGCGTTCCCTTCATCGGTGGGAGCGTCGCTGTCCTGTCCGCTCTCATGTCCAGCAGCACTCAGGAGGGGAACGATCACTACTCTAAGGCTGGCGGTGTTGCCACGGAGGTGTGTGTGTGTGTGTCTTTGTCTATTTTGTTAGCATCGACCGCGCTTACCGGCTGACCAATGAAAAGACGTCAGTCTCAGTGCGGTGGAAAACGAAAAATGCTTCTGTTGGCCACGATCTGGGACCCTGTGACCGAGCGTCATGTGGGAGTCTACGGTACTCTCCGGATTAAAGATAGATACCGTAGTAATAACTGAGGAGAGCTGGATGTGTTTGCCATGGCTGCTACTACTCTGGAGTCGCGCGCGTTTTGTGTGTGTGTGTGTGTGTGTGTGTGTGTGTGTGTGTGATCTTTTAGCTATTTTTCATAACCTCGGTCGCTCTTAATGTTGATTGTTTACCATGGTAGCATCTGCCGCTTAAACGGCTGACCTATGTGCGCGTGACTTTCTTTTCGCAACGGTAAGATGGTGTCGTAGCTATCCCGACTTTAGGTTGCTTTCCTTATTTTCGTCTCTCGGTTTTGGGCTCCAGGTCCTCAGCGGCATCCGCACGGTAGCCTCGCTCAACTCCGAGGAGATCGAGCTGGAGCGCTACGGCAAGCACCTGGACGGAGCCTACCACGCCGGGGTGAAGGAGGGCATGGCCAAGGGCCTCGGCAACGGCATGCTATTCACCTCCTTCTACATGAGCTACGCTCTGGCCTTCTGGTTCGGCACGAAGCAGGTCAGCAGTGCAACGGCAAAGGCGGTGATTGGTTATTCCAAAGCGTGCAAACGGTGGTGTATAGCTTCATGCAGACCGGGTGTGAATTGTGAAGGGTTACATTCAATATGATTCGAGGATTGGAATGGTTGGGCTTGTCCCTGTTGTTTTGGGTGTTCTTTTGGTTTTCGGCATAGAGGCTCAAAATTTCACAAGAAATGAAGATGGGGTTACAAAGCACAGCTACCAGTGGTGGGTGGTATATTGAAAGAAGGCCATCCCGTTTTTTTTTCACTGAGCAAAGCACATCCATCTCTTCCACAGACAAAAGTCCGGGATAGGTTACGAATGAGTTCACCGTGTTGCACGACCCGTTTTACGCGGACTTGTTCTCAATTACCCCGCGCTGTGCAACCAATGGATTCCATAGGTAGCTGACGGGGACGGACGCTCAGGAGGGGACGTGTTGGCTGCTATCTTCGCTGTCCTCATGGGCTCGATGATGTTCGGGCAGACCGCCCCCGGCATCGCCGCCCTGGGCGTCGCCCGTGGGGCCGCCGTGGAGGTGTTCGAGGTTCTTGACCGCGTGCCCCCCATCGGTTCGTCCTCGGAGAAGGGGCTCAAACCCGCGAACGTGGAGGGGCAGGTGGTGTTCGACAGCGTCGGCTTCAGCTACGTGAGTTTTTCCGTGGGCCTGTGTTTTCTTGTTGGGTAGGTTTGTTAGAGTGTTG